AAGTAGAAAATATATGTAGTCCATAATAGTAAATGTTTAATGTTAATTAATTGTCACTTTTTTTTTTTTTTTTTTGAATGTAATGAATTTGTATTTTCAATCGTTCAGGATCAAATCATGCAGCTCTCAGACAGTTGTTAGTCAAAGTCATCCGATTAAGTCTCGCGATTAACCAACGTCATACGATTAAATCTCGCGACATATTTTTTTAAAAAAAATATGTTGTTGAAATTTAATTGAAAATGATATATTTTTATTATATATATCGGGGTTGTGCTGGCCAAGTATTCAAGTGTAATATCGCTCACTGCCACCCCAACCCGAACTTGGTTTATTTCTATAACAGTGCCAATGTGCGGTGCATTTAATGCAAGTCACCGATATTGGAAACTGCAGTTGTTGTTCGTATGACTATCTATATATTTAAAATTCTGTAATAGAGTTAGTAGTATCTACATATAGATACATAGATATCTATATGTATATGGATACGTTAAAATGTTGTATTAATATGTTGTGGAATTTAATTGAATGCAAAAAAAATTTATCTTCTTTGTTATTGACTTCTATCGACTTCTATTTGTGAATGTATTATTATTCCTTTTTTATTACTTGTAATATTATGTTAGATAGAGGCATATTAATCCCCAAAAATAAAAAATAAACAAAAAAAAATCCAAGGGGCCTATTTTGAAAGTTTCGGGACTTCACTCTCAGTTTGCAGTCAAACTGAGAGTGAAGTCCCTACCGTTGATTGACGTGACATGTCACGTCAGTCTATGCTGACGTGCCATGTCACCACCGCCCATGCACGAGCCATTTCTGGCTGACGCGTCAGGCTACCTACTGACGCGTCAGTCAGAAATATGGTGTGTAGAAAGCTTAAAAAAAAAAATAATACATCCTATAAATAGAAGATCTTTATGTAAAACCACCATGCCTTGAAAAATTATTGTGCAAGTTAATTTCTCCAAAGTACCATACACGAAAATTGGCACTTTGCTGAATTTATATATTACTTTTTTTCTTTTGAAAAAAAATGAGTGAAAATTATTTACATCCCGGTCCAATCGATCCAAGTCTGTTAACATTTCAAAAGCTCCATCGATCAGAGTCTGTGTGGGCCTACGAAGATTTTGACGCGTTATTATCATGTGTGCATTATGCTCATAATGCTTTTAGAAGCCTCCGTGTGACCGATCGTGTAGAGGAATTGTTACGCCGGGCAGGATTTTTAGCACTTACACGATTAGGTTGTGATTTGAAAATTGATCATCATTTGATCACGGCATTGGTTGAACGGTGGAGGCCCGAAGTACATGCATTTCACTTGCCGTTCGGTGAGGTAACCATTACTCTCCAAGATGTAGAAGTTTTGCTCGGGTTAAAAATTGACGGTAGGCCGTTGATTGGACAAATTGATAAAAATAAAGAAGAACGTTTATTGCAAATTCAGAACTTTTTAGGATTTACTCCAAGAAATGGTGCGTATACCAAATCATCTTTAAATATTACTGTGTTAAATGAACACGTGAATACTATTAATATCGACTATGCCAATGATGAAGAACTGGAACAGTACGTGCGTGGCATAATTTTATTATTTCTGGGTGGATTACTGTTTCCAGAAACGAGTCGAAATAGTATTAAATTATGTCTGTTGGATTGTATTGAGGATTTTACAATGTCTGGTCAATATAGCTGGGGTTCGGGTGTGCTAGCATACTTATACAGATGTCTTTGTCGGGCTGCAAATTTTGACCAATCTGTTATTGGAGGATGTCTACTTTTGGTTCAATTATGGGCATGGGAGCGCTTGCCTTGCACTCGACCCGCTAGAGTACTCCCATTAAATGATTTGTCCAGACCTTATGGTGCCCGGTAATTTTTATCTACATTATGACATTGTTTAACCGTAAATGCACAATGTTTTGTAACGCATGGATATTTTGAATGTAGATGGCATTGTCCGCACACATGGGAATCTACCTCTAATCACACGTATGCAGCATATCGTGATGAACTAGATAGATGTCAAGTGGATAACGTGAGTATAGTATATTCGTTAGCCGGGCACACCCTTTTAACATTTTGTTTTTTCAAATTATTACTTAATATTAATAATAAAAAAAAAAATATTACGCCGGTCTCCGGCCATGGAGACGTCTCCATGTCCGGAGACGTCTCCACCTTCTTCGTCTCCGGCTGGAGACGAAGCAAAGATATCTTTGTCTCCGGCCATAGAGACGGAGAACCTCTTCGTCTCTGGTCGGAGACGAAGAAGGTTCCTTCGTCTCCGGCCAGAGACGAAGTTAGCTTCTTCGTCTCCGGCCATGGAGACGAAGATAACCTCTTCGTCTCTGGCCGGAGACGAAGGAACCTTCTTCGTCTCCATGGCCGGAGACGAAGGGGTTATCTTCGTCTCCATGGCCGGAGATATGGAGACGAAGTTAGCTTCTTCGTCTCCGGCCATGGAGACGAAGATAACCCCTTCGTCTCCGGCCATGGAGACGAAGAAGGTTCCTTCGTCTCCGGCCAAGGAGACGAAGATAACCCCTTCGTCTCCGGCCATGGAGACGAAGAAGGTTCCTTCGTCTCCGGCCAGAGACGAAGAGGTTATCTTCGTCTCTATGGCCGGAAACGAAGAAGCTAACTTCGTCTCCGGCCGAGACAATTTTTTTTTAAAATTATTATTTTAAAATTTAATTATTTTAAATTTAATTATTTTATATTATGGGTGAGATATAATTTAATTTAGAAATAGCTTCAAATTTAAAATTGCAGTTTGTGTGGGCGCCATACAACGTTGATGCGTTGCCAATTTTTTGTCGGGAAGGGCGAGATGTTTGGACTGCACGTGTTCCGTTACTGTTTTTTATGTCATAGAGTGGCACTATCCGGACCGAGTTTGTCGGCAATTTGGTGGTTACCAAGACATTCCAACACACGTGGAGTATGACCCCGAACAACACAGATTAGATGGTCGTACTAGGAATGAACAATGGGATGTTCGCCATCACGTATATGTTGCTATGTGGGAAGACCGAGCACAGTACGTAATTCATATGCCACCACATGAACCACTTGGCCCATATGTAAGCCAGGCTTATGTGCATTGGTTCTACCGAGTTGGTCGACGAGTTATCGGTAATCCCCAACATCGTCACTCCGAGGGGTACATGCAGACGGCGCCATCATACATTGAAACGGTAATAATGTTTTATATGAATTACAACTTTAAAATGTTACATTTTCAAACTTTTTCGAATAGTACAAAATTTAAATACTTCCGGAAATATGTAAAATAATTCGAAAAATAAGTTTGTAAAATTTGGAAGAATTTCCAAAAATATTTAAAATAATTCGAAAAATATTATACGAAAAAACGAAGAATTTTCGGAAATATGTCAAACATTTCGAATAATACATATTAAAAAAATTGATCAATTCGCGAAATTATTTAAAGACCTGTAATAATTGCACTATTGTTTTTGTTAACAATTTATAAATTGTATAGGTAGAAGCGTTACGACATATTAACATCCACGGGGAACTTGCAGTCGAACATGGAGAAAGCAACAGTCGTACCAATGCAATGCAACAAATTGCAAGACACGAACTTGTTCGGCTAAATTATGGTTATGTTATGGATTTTCCTAGGGACAATGACAATTTTCTTTATGTTCCCACCGATCAAGTGCGCCCTCCGGATCGGCGGCACGATGATAATCGCCGGGGTCATCGTGCCCAAGGCGGTCGACGCTGCCGCCGTGTTCCCCAGTTGGATCTTAATGATGACGTACATTTTGAAGGAGACGATGATGAAACCGACGGCCGAAGTCCTAATTTTGAGGAGCAGGGATTTCATACTGCATATGATATGGGCGATATCACTCAATTAGATCTCAACCAATCAACAATGGCCAGTGCATCATTCATGACCCCACAAGCGTGTGCGGACCAAACAAATTCGTATGCGATTGGGTCGTCATCGCAAGCCCCTCCGGTGCATGACGGACGACGAATTCGAAGCGCTTCGCATCTCCGGCCTAATAGTCGTTTGAACATGCAATTCAGAATTATTATGACGAAGATGCTACAATAAATACATCTCAAGTGGTGAACAATACCCAAGAACAGCAACAGACCAGAATTCAAGTACACTACCAACGTCGTCGTCCAGCGCGTAATATCAGACGACCACCTTGTGGCACATAATCAATGTGTAAATACTTTTTCTACTACTAGTTGTAATGTATTATTGAATTTCTAATTTAATATTGCACTTATCAATATCTATATTTGACTAAATTAGTATAAGTTTTTTTTTACACCTTATTTAAAAATTGCCCCCTTCAATTGGGGGCCAACTAAATAAAGGCCCCATAAAAAAATGCGTAAATAAAGGCCGGGCTGTCACAATTGGTGTGACAGTCCGGCCCTGTTGCTTGCTGTCAGTGTACAACTGACAGCCAGCGACGTGAGTAATCACGTTGCTGTCAGTTGTACACTGACAGCAAGCAAGGTGACTAGTCCGAATGACTAGTCACTTTTTTTTTTTTTCTTTTGAGTTAATGAATTTTTTTTTTTTTGGGGTGCCAATTTTTAGTATTTAAACATAACAACGAAAAACACTAATGTGAGCTCATATCGTACATTAATATTACACATTAATCCCTTTGCAATCGTGGACATCGTCTAATATCGTGGTTTGCTGAACGACAAACACTACAACGCTTTCCCCTCAAATCCATTTCGTTCGGAATTCTTGTGCTCGCGCGACGACCTGGTCGACCAGCAGCAGGTCGAACTGTTGGGGGCAACGTCGTAAAAGATGGGACTGGCCAATAATTTTCAGACAATAAAGGCATGATGGTTCCTTCATAAGTTAGGAGATACTTAGCAAGAGAATATTTATCCGGAACCATAGCATCGGGGACTCTACCAACGTAATGACACGCCGCATGTGCATGAATGCATGGCAGTCCGTCCACAGACCACTAGCCACAGTTACAAACCTGTTCGTTGATGTTAATCGCCACGAAGTTCGGTCTCCCGTACCTATTTATATCACCTTCAATCGCAACCGAATAAATACCGTCAAGGTCGTCATGGCGTTTTACAATGGCGCGGTACTTGTGGCTTTCCCTTTTCAACATTTCATCAAGAATATTACGTGGCCATTGCAACCCCCCTTGTTGCATTACCATTCCAGCTGTACGCCTCTCGGCGAACATTAAAGCAGCTTTTTCGTACGTTAGCTTCACTATAGCCGAGACGGGCAGAAGACGACAACGCTTTAGGCTGTTGTTGAAAGATTCCGAGCTGTTGGTCGTCATCAATCCATGTCTAAATCCCCCATCGTGACTTAGGGCCCAAAACCGGGCAGGGATTGCCATCAAGTAATTATATGCCGCCTCATCAGTTGCCCGAATTATACTCATTACCGCCTCAAACCCCCGAACATCCATAGCACAACCGGCCTGCCAAAACAGATTTTTTAATTCCTTGTTCTTAAACTTGGTCATCAAATTTGACCACAAATGTCGGAGGCAGTATCGACGCTGGACCCGCGGCTCGGCCAGTTCAGGTACTTCCCGAAATGCATGGTCGATGCCACCATGCCTATCCGAGATAATACAAATGTGTTCCAAATCGCCAAAAACATTTTCAGCCAGCAATCTCAGGAACCAACTCCAACTATCTCCTGTTTCAGCGTCAACAATTGAGTATGCAACTGGATGTATTTCTTTGTTGGCATTTATAGCTACTGCTAATAGAAGGTGTCCTTTGTACTTTCCGTACAAATGCGTCCCATCGACCGTAAGTACGGGTAAACAGTGTTTAAACCCTTCAATTGCCGGTTTGAATGTCCAAAACACATACTTAAATCGAAACTCATTCGGGACTCCCGTTTCCGTGTACACAGTATCAACAACGAAATCTGGATTTGTTTGCTGTATGGCCATTAACGTCTGTGGCAATATGTTGTAGGACTCATCCCACTTTCCATACAGCGTCTCCAACTCGATGACCTTTGCGTACCAAGCCTTCTTGTAATCAACCCGAATACCCCATTTTGCCTTGACATCTTCGATGACGTATTTAATTTTGTATCGCGGATCATCTGCAATTTTTTGCAAAATTAGTTCCGCAATCACTTTACTGGTAAGGTTGTAGTCATCTCCGCCCTCCTTATAGTCTACACGGCATCCGTGGATATTATGAAACTTTTTAACTTTCCATGCATCGGAATCTTGGATCTGCGCAGCACTAATAATCCACGCACACTGTTGGGGATATAAACAGGTAGCCTTCTAATATTTGCTCTTCTTGGTCGCCGTTTTAAACTGCGTATGTTGGTCAAGATTGTGTTGTGTCACCATATTCTTTAACTGTCGGTAGCTGTCGAACACCATTCCAACTCCAATGGACGAACTAGCAGTTTGAAAAGCATTCTCGTATGATGTATAATCATTGTACCAATCCGGATCATGTGTTGGCGGACGAGCACCCCTATCATGTATGGACGTGTTGGCAGACGATTCAACCTCTTCAACGGGCTCATAATCAGGGTCGTCATCATCATCGGAAGGAAACAAACATTCATCCCCACTTGTGTTTGTTTCTTCGTCTAAAATGGCATTATTCGCGTCACAAATAAGATGATCCATTGGTACTATCTGTATGTGCTCTGCTTGCGTGCTTTGTCGTGATCGACCAACACTACGCCTTCGTGTTTCACATGTTCTAATGGGCGTGCGGTCAACGCTAGTACCCCTTGAACAATGTTCATGTTCAATGTTGAATGGAAAGGCAGTGGAAGTTTCACAAAAACCACTAGCGCCCCAAACGTTGACATAACCCCCAAAAAATATGACCATGTCTCATTATCGGTTATTGGAAATGGATAAACTACATCACCCAGAGATTGATTTGGCTGAAATTTTCCCCATAACAATATAGCACCAACATTGTCTCCAATTTGAAAACAATTCTTAATCTCGGCGACTAACTGTTCGAATGAACATGTTGCAGAGACGAACACGGCATTTTGAGGAGCAATGTTGAAATCCACATCATCTCTATGCCCATCATGTTCGGAATGACGACATATCAACACAACCACCTGGTTACCTATAGAAAATAAAATCTCATACATGATAAAATTATAATTACAATAAAAAATAATTTCATATACAGAAGTGAAATTCATGCCTGCCATTATCCTTAACGTAATTCCTGCAAAAAAAAATACATATCAGATATAACTATGATAAAAAACGCGTTACAAACTAACAAAAATAAACTTTAAAAAATAAAAAATGCTAAAATACACTAACCTTTAATTAACTCCGGTTCCACAGTGCCAACTTTTACAGAGCACTTTGTAAAAGCCACACTTCAAAAAACTCAACACACTGCGCGGTTAAAAACAATACATGAATCAACCCACATGGGTTGTCATAATGAGATAACATCTCATTATGACACCCACATGGGCTTGAGCTGCCATCGAAATGACAGCCCAAAGGGGCTGTCATCTCGGCGCCAGCCCATACGGGACTGTCAGCCGGGCTGACATCGCACATGGGCTGTCAGCCGTGAGATGACAACGCATGGGTTGTCATCTCAGGGCTGACAGCCCATGTAAATTTAATTAGGATAGAATTTAAATTTTTTTGGATGCATTACACATCTTGGACTATAAATTGTTCCCTTTGTATTCCTGAATTTCAACAAGATATTTAATCATGTTGAATTTCATGCTGTATTTTTCTAAATTTCGGAGTTGTAAATTTCTATTTTTTTATTGGAAATTTCTCAAAATATTTGAAATTTTATCACACCCTGATACAACGGTGGATAATGTTGAATGTCATGCAATTAAATCTCGCGAATGCCTATAAACCCGAGAGATGAGAGTTTCGAGCGATTCGGAAGGGAAAGGTTCTTTCCGCCATTGCTATTCTTTTGTTCGTTGGGTTTGAGGTTAGAGCAAGTGCTTGTGATTACAATCACAATCGATTGCTCTTGTTATGCACGGAACTGTTGGATTTGCGGTGAGTTTCGACGTAATTATCCTAAATTTTTAATACAACCACTTCTTAATTTTTTTTTTTTCTATAACTCTCACTTTACATTGCTAGGTTGTTGTTACGTTGACAAAATGCACCTCAATCAAAGTTTCATTGACAACGAGTGGTAATTCTTTTGTCAGAACAACAGCCTGACAGTTCTGCAGACATACTCCTTCAATTCAAAATCCACGATGGACATTATTTATTCGTCGGGGACAGCAGCCTCACAATCCCGCATACATATTCCTTCAATTCAAAGCCCAAATGGGATATTATTCATTCGTGGCGTCGCCCACATGTTATAAGCTGACAAGTAATACGCTCCCACATGGGTTTACCTTTGTGAAATTTGTAACAAATATTTGTTTATTTATGCAAAATAATATTCAATGTGTAATATTAGTCTTTCAAAAGCTATGCAATTTTATATTCCAAACTATGTAATTTGTAATCATTTATTATATGATTTATATATGCCATGTAATCGACAATTTTTTTATTAACATTACGCATAAAATTTTAATTAAATACAATATCATGAAACGTGCATATACAAAATTTTATGCTTTGCTTTTTACGACTTTCTTAAAAACCACTGATTAGATGCATATATTTTGTTGCAGTTACATACTACAAACGCCCTCAAAATTCTTGTTCTGCATTGTGTCCTCAAATTAAATTTCGTAATGTGTAGTTTAATACACACAAATTCCAATCACAACTCTAGTGTACTCTACTCAACTTCAAAAAAAGTATAAATATGTAAATGTAGACTATCGGATACTAACACGCGCATTAGAGTCGCAAAATTTAGAAAAATATTATGTGCCCAGAACAAAGGCATTTGCGTAAAAAAACCATTAGAATAATATCCGGCCCGCCATGGACATAAACGCGTTTGGGAAATGCGTTTTTTCGAAAAACGCATTTCCCAAACGCGTTTATGACGCCGGCTAGAACGCTGGCCGGTGGCGTGCCGGCGATGAAGGAATACCATAGCCGCATTTGGGAAATGCGGCTATCGTGTAATATACGAGAGCCGCATTTTCCAAATGCGGCTATGTGTAAACGATAACCGCATTTGAGAAATGCGGCTGTCGTATATTATACGACAACCGCATTTTCCAAATGCGGTTGTCCGTAGCGTATGCAACCCCTCCATCCGAGTTTGGGAAACGCGGGTTTGATCTCAACCGCGTTTCCCAAACTCGGTTTTCCCATTTTTGTTCAAAAAAATTTGACCTCCCATTATTGTCCACAAACACTTCCCAATGCCCATTTCAGTCAAAAACCCGATATGTTTCTATATGTTTCTGTTTGGGGGATCGGAAAAGAAAATTATTTGTATTCTTGTTTGAATCTTTGTGTTTTAACAGGCTGAGAAAGTATATATGAACAAATATTATATGGTATATATGAACATATATTACATTATAATAGAGTCTGTAGTACTAAAAAAACCTATGTACGTATTGGTGAAAATGTAGTATATATTTGGGGGCAATCCCTAACTAATTAAAATTATCATATATAATTGGTTTGGTAACCATAATATTTGATTTCTCATTAGAACTATTTATTAATATTCTTGATCTGAGTCCATCAGCAACCAACTATATATTGGTTATTCAACTTATTTGTGTATTGAGGTAGTAGATTTATTATTTAAACTAATTTTATATGTAACAAGAAAACTAATTTTTTTATGTTGTTGTATCTTAATATCTTATAGTTTAATATGCTTAATTGTTTAATTCCATTTTTTTGGTGATACGATGGATTAATGTGAATGCTAACTATATACGTAGTGTAATTAAACAATTAATGGTATTACTAATTTTTTTACGCGCATTGCACGATTGAAATAATGTCCAATATATTTTTTTTTATTTTAAATAAGTACTTTAAAGTATATAAAGGTAATATTATATTAAAATTGTTCATGCATAGATAATTGAATGTTAAATTTGTGTATTTAAATAGGCAATTCTAAGTTTACACATGCAAGATAATATAGTCAAGATTAATTATAATTGTCTAAAATAATTGTATAGGTATGGTTGAAACCAAATACGAGACATAAGGGAGATCGGATAAAAATTAAGGCATAAAACATTAAATATATACTAATATTGAAGAGCTAACTGCTGATTGTCAAACAAAGACATTGCGAGGTAGTTTCCCACTTCAGTGTGATTTGAATACTCTTTTTGTCAATAAATCCCCTAAGTAGTTAATATGATTGGTTTAATTATATTTTTTATTTATTTTTTATTTTTTTAAAACTATTATTATTATTATTATTATTATTATTATTATTATTATTATTATTATTATTATTTATTATTATTATTTTTATTATTATTATTATTTATTATTATTATTATTATTATTATTATTATTATTAAATATGTGTATACCCTTAAGTCATTTTTCATGTTAATCTAAACAGCTAATTTTTTCAAATATCTTTTTACCAACCGTAGATATAATTCGCTGGTCAAATTCGCTAATATAATCCGCTAACGCTAACCACCAACTGTTGATTGTCAAACAAGGACATTGCGAGGTAGTTCTCACTTAAATTTGTTGTGTGATTCGAATACTCTCTTTGTCAACAAATCCCTCTAAGTAGTTAATTAATACGATTGGCTTTATTAATTATATATTTTTAAATTTTTTCATGGTATTAATAAAATACTTGGTAAATAAATATATATCATTATTTTGTATTATAACTTTGATATTTAATTAAAAAACAGTGCACAAAAAAGATAATAGACAATGTAGTGAATATAATTAATTGATGAATTTGAATGTAAAGAATTTTTACATTGGAGAAATATAAAGACAATATAACTAATAAAATTATTTCTCTTAATGAATTTATTGATAATGAATATTTTTTTTTAATAAATACATTGTAGAGACAATGTAGCGAATATAATCAATTGATGAACTTGAATGTAAAGAATTTTTATATTGGAGAAAAATAAAGACAATATAACTAATGAAATTATTTCTCTTAAAGAAATGCATATGTATTATTTTTTGTTGTAGCTACTAAATTATTATTTAATTTAGGCTAAAGTGTCATCTAGCACCATGAACCATATTCGATTATTCATCCCGCACCCTGAAATTTCATATCATATATATCAATCCACAAACCAAAAAATAAAATTCACCTACAACTTTTAGCAGGTTTCCCTTCTTCCTGCGGACATGGCACCTGATGTGGCATTTCTCTTAACCTTATGTTGTCCATGTAAGCATTTACATATTTAAAATTTAAAAAACCAAAATTATTATATAAAAAAACCATAATTTTCTTCTCTTTATTTTCATAATTTATACTTTTTCAATTTTTCAATTCTAATGTTTCAATTTTTTTTTTCATAATTTATATTTTTTGCATAATTTTTTGTTTAATAATTTTCCAGGTTTCCTAATTTATAGAAATGCTACTTTTTTTTGTTTAGCATTTTCGCACATAAATATATCCACCAAGTGAAATTAAAAATGAAATCAAGTTACTAATATAAATTGTAAAAAGAAAAACCAATATATATTATTGCTAATAACAAAACAAA